ACTCCTATCCTGTCTCTGCAGAGACTTTCAGAGAAGAACAGACAGACTGTAAAGTCCCATCATGCATAGGAATAGGAAGAACGGATCTTTCCTGAGGCATTCAGCAGCTACTTTTTGCCATGAATTCTGAATATTAATCCCAACGTGTTTTTTTTTATAGTTAGTTTAATGCATGTACTCTACTAATCATATCAAACTTCAAAGTTTTAAAAATAATTATTTTTGCCAATAATACCGTGTAGAAGGCAGCTTAATAGTTTAGCTATTAACTGCATAGCAAAGTATTTCTGTTAAACTGTCATCTGCTGCTTTCTAATTTGTGTGTCTCTGTCACTGCTTGGTAATGAAAGATAAATAAGAGAGCTTCAACAGTTTGTTCCCAAATCAAATCTTAACTGCATGTCCTTTGACCTGCTCTCCAAAATACATGAAGCTATAATGTCTATATTCATTCTCCCTCTCCTGACACTGTACTTTCCCCTTGACTCCTGCTATCTGTAGTTTCATCTTCCCCCTGCATCTCTTTTCATCTTTGCTTCTGTCTCTCCCAGCCATCATTCCTATCTGTAGACTGTCTATTGTAGAATTAATCAGTTAAGCCAGTCAAAATGCTGAGATTAACGTAAAGTTCCGTCAATTCTATCTCCTGTTTTTATGAAGAAATAAACAGTTAAAAACAAAAAATAACCGTAACATAATTGGTAATGCATTTCTTCAAAGAATCATAGAATTTTTTGAGTTGAAAAGGACCCTTAAAAGTCATCTAGTCCAACTGTGATGAACAGGGACAGGCCCACTCAGGTGCGTAGAGCCCGGTCCAGCCTGACCTTGAGTTTCTCCATGGCGGGGCACTACCACCTTTCTGGGCAACCTGTGCCAGTGCCTCACCACCCTTACTGTGAAAACCTTCATCCTTATGTCCAACTTAAACTCTTCTCTTTTAGTTTGAAACCATTTCCCCTTATCCTGTCGCCACAGACCATAACCAAGTGTCTGTCCCTTCCTTTTTATAGCCCCCCTTTCTGTATCTACCGACAGGCCGCTCTCAGCTCTGCCCACAGCCTTCCCTTCTCCATGCTGCACACCCCAGCTCTCAGCCTGTCCTCGCAGGGAGGTGTTCCATCCCTCAGATCATTTCTGTGGCCCTCCTCTGGATGCTCCAACAGCTCCGTGTCTCTCCTGTGCTGAGCACTCCCCATCTGGACTCAGCGCTCCAGCTGAGGTCTCACAGCACAGAGCAGAAGGGCAGATCCCCTCCTCGCCCTGCTGGCTGTGCTGCTTTGGATGCACCCAGTGCACAGTGCTGGCTCATGCCCAGCTGCCATCCACCGGTACCCCCAGGTCCTTCTCAGCAGGGCTGTGCTCCATCCTTACATTTCCCAGCTTGTACAGATAGCAGAGGTTGCCACAACCCGGGTGCCAGACTGTTCACTTGGCTCTGTTGAACCTCACGTGATTCTCCTGGGCCCACTGCTCGGCCTGGCTGGTTCTCTCTGGGTGGCATCTGTCTCTCAGGCATGTTGGCTGCACCACACAGCTTGGGGTCATCTGCAAACTGCTGAGGGTGCACTCGATCCCACTGCTGATATCACTGATGAAGATGTTATAGAGCACAATTTATTGATATTTATAAACTTTTGAGGTTAGTATTGGGATAAACAACAATTTCCAGATACTCACTGTCTGAAACTCTCTCTTGCAAGTGAAAATATGACTTACAAAAGTTAGAAAGTCAGCTTTGTGCTGTTAAGGCAAAGCTAGAGTCACAGAATCCTGATGTAGATTTTGCCATGACTTTATGCGAAAACCATGAGTTTAGCCTAGTAACATCAGAAAGCTCAGTGAGAACACTGTGTCCCAAATTCTATAGCATTTTACTAATCCAGTATTAGACATTACAATGAGAACACATTAGCTAATTATAAATCATTACCTCCTCTTGATCAGGTAGACAGTACTCAGAATCCCCTGGCGTCCAAGGCCACCATAAATCATCTAAACACGAAGCTCTGATTATCCTGCAGGATCTCAGTTGTACTTAGTTAGGGAAGGCTTGGGAAAGCATCTGGTATGACCTTGGTTACCATGGAGTTCCATTAACTTGAGCCACTGAGCATCCCAACTAAAGTATGTGAACTATTTGCAAGGCATTCATATCCACGTGAAGCCAAATAAAATCATATTATTTTGTCCTAAGATAGACTGGGTTCACTGTAAGAAAGAAACAGGGATGAAGTCTCTTTGGCATTCTCCACCATCTGTATGGTATGGTCACTGTGCCATTTGTGTCTAAAAATATCACCATGAGACTGATTGCCTAAGCAAAAAAAATGAAGAGTGTGTTGAAAATGCTAATAGTACTGTGAATGCTAGGGGTGGGCTTCAGAAGGGAAAACATGATAATGACAATTTGTTTATCTCTTAGCACAGATTCATCTTTGATTTTTACAAAATATTCTGAGATGAGGCTGTGAAGCACCATTTTATTCAGGATGAGGTGCTCATCCAACTGGCTGTTCATGGAAATGAGAGACTGCCCGATGCCCCCTTCATTCCTGATTATTTGTGTCTTCTCTTGTTATAAAATTACAATGTTAAATGTAATTTCTTTCATGTTTTTTTCAGTACATCATCATCAGAAGTGGCAGACAGCAGGAATACACAGCTGGAAGGACAGGAAGAACTTGGTGAGAGCAAGTGAACAGAAACAGAAGTGAACAGGAAAGCTTTGAAGGTAACAGAGCACTGGAACAGGTTGACCATCTGAATATCCTCTGGATATTCAGAACCCACATGGATGCTTTCCTGTGCAACCTTCTTCAGCAGGGGGTTGGACTGACAATCTCCAGAGTTCCTTTCCAACCTTTGTGATTCTGTGACTGCAGGACTGTGTGAATGCTGCATTAGAAATGGGCTGGAGATAGGTAGAGCAGCAAAAGATAAGTAGTTTTTAACCAGAAAGGCAAATTATTACCCTATGGGAACAAACTTTTCACGAGTATCTTGGAATTCTAATGTTCACGTACATGCCTGTAATTGTCAGGTCTGCTGTGTTTGCTGGAAGACATTTGAGAGAGGTGTGCTCTACAGTAAAGCCCAGCTGTTTTTCATGGTCTTAATTCTGAATCTGAAAATTCCTGCCTCAGTGAGCTGGGTGAGTTACTTCCAACTGATATTTAAGATTCTACATCTGCAAGAAAAGAATACAATTCTGCTTCACAGAGATGTTTAGAGGAATTCATAGGTAATATTTGTAGAGCGCTTTGAGCTCAGAGTGCAATAGATACAAAGATGGCATTTATGTTCCACATATCTCTACAGATAACCACTTATTTCTTCAAAGAGATAAAATGACAACAGCCTAACAACCTAAGCAGGGAACATTACAAGCCACCTCACAGCCCTGCCTGAGCTGAAATGGACTCCATCTTCTGGGAGTGATTCACATAAGGGAACACACAAGCAGCAGACAATGTATGCACCTAGAGGTGAGGAGTCACACTTATGCTGCTAAGGTAATGCAAGTGTTTAATGGCTCCTGCTTCATGAATATGATGCCCTTTTATTCATATGTGTCTTTGGCTTCCTTCAGGAGTAGTGGTTTGAATTGGTGATGTTCTTCAGTGATGTGTGAAGTCACCTGCCAGTGTCTTACACGAGCACTTATCTGAGCTACAGCCAGAGTCACTGGCTGATTATTTTGCAAATGCAAAGCCAAGTGCTTTCAATATTATCCCTAACTCAACTGAATGGAGAACAAAAACCCAGCAGCTTGAGATTAAGAAAAAAAATGAGACAGTGGAGGACCAAAGGAAAGTGACCTGCTGAAATGAGAGGAAAAGGAACATTAAGTGGAAAACAGTCTTCCCTGGGCCTGGGAGGTGGACTGAGCGACCCGGTATCTCTTTTCTATTTCCATCTCGCACACTGAGCCTCAAAGCAGCAAAAAGAAAAGAGCTGCAGGATCCTTCCAGTGAGGTGTCAGAGAGAGCAAGGTGCAAGATGAGCAGTCAGGGAACCAATCTCCAAGCAGAGGCACACCAGCTCCCTAAGTGCCTGTGCACTGCTGCTGGCACACGGTCGGAGGCAGTGGGTGTCTGCCTGCAGCGCTGCCCCGCGCCCGCTGCTAGGCCACAACTCAGCTCTGCACCTGGGAGAGATGCTCCCACTTTGTCTTTCTCCAGCACGAGGGACAACAGGGAGACTTTGCCGGATTTCATTCCAGGGGATGGGCTCATCCCCGGCTTTAGCGCTCTGCGGGTGGATGAACGCAGGAGCTCTCCCCGCGGTGCTGAGCACCGGAGGGGGATGAGGGCAACTCCGGCTCGGGTCGGGCAGCCTCGGGAGAGCTCCGTCCGCCCGACCGCCCCATCCCTGCCGCCCCGCGGCGCCCCAGGCGTGCCCGGGCGGGACCCCGGCCGCCTCCCATCCCCGCACCTTCGCCCCACTCTCCTCTACGCGGCCCCGGCTCTCCGCCTCCTCCCCTCCCCTCAGGCAGCGCACGCACCGCACTCACACTCTCACACACACGCTCACACACACACACACACACACACGCAGCGGCGATGCAGCTTTAAAGGGACAGCCGCAGCCCGCGGACCGGCCCTCGCGAGGCCGCGCAGCTCCCGCCGAGCGCAGCCCCGAGCGGTGCCGCCCCGAGCGGCCGGGAGACGGCGGGGCCGGGCGGACCGAGGGCTGCGCGCCCGCCTCCCGCCAAGTTTGATCGATCACCCCCTCCCGGGCCGGCTCCGCTCCCACCATCTTTGGGGGAAGTCCCTGCGCTGGGAGGGGGGGTGGGGGGGGCTGCTGGAGACGGGGGGAGAAAGGCAACCTGACAGCCAATGAGCCCTGCCCGGCTGGGGTGAAGGCAGGAGGAGAGGGAGCTGGGGAAGGGAAAAAAAAAGAAGAAAAAAAAAAGAAGAAGAAGAAGAAGAAGAAGAAGGGAAGCAAGGAGCGGAGCATCCTTTCACTACCTCCACCAGCATCGCCTCCACCATTGACACCGCTCCGCGCCTCCGCTCGCGCCCATCCATGCCCGTGCCGCCGGTTCGGTGTTAGGGCTGAACCGCAGCGGCTGAAGAAAATGGGGCAGCGCTCGGGCCGGGCCGTGCTGCTGCTGCTGGCGGGGCTGCTGGGCGAGGCGCGGGCAGGATTCCCCAACACCATCAGCATCGGTAAGCGCTCCGCCGCCCCGAGCAGCGCCGGGCGGCGTGGGGAGCCGGGGAAAGGTCCGCGCCAGCCGCCGGGAGCGGTGCACGGCGTTCCCCCCGCGATGCGCTCCGTCCGCCTCTCAGCGACGCGGGGTTTGCTCCGTGCTCCTGCGGAATCGCGCCCTGAGGCAGCGCATCCCGTGCCGCGGAGCGCTGAATGGCGTGAATCCGCAGCGACGTGCTCCGAACCTGCGGCCGAATGAGCCTCGGGGCCGTGCGTGCGAGGAAACTTGCCTTTTTTTTTTTTTTTTTTTTTTTTTGCCTTTTTTTTTTTTTTTTGCCTTCCTCCCTGACGGGAGCGCTCAGCCGTGCGCGCTCATCGAGCCCCGCTTCCGCACGGCTGGCAGTCCGCACCGCGCCTTGCCCACCCCGCATCCCGCCTGCCCGTGCCACGCAACCCGGCGGAGCTCCGGAGGTCCGCACCGCCGCTCCCGTGCTGCGCCGCCCCGTCCCCCGCGGGCATCGGAGGTGGCCGCGTCGCGGTGCTGCGGCTCCGGGTGGCTCCGGGGCACCGGGCTGCGATGTGCGTGTGCCTCGCAGCCCAACTTCGGGCTCGGAGCAGCGTTCCGTGCGCGCCCTGCCACAGCTGCACGCTCGTAGCTTGGTGCTGTCCGTTCCCTGCCGTGATGCGCGGTATGCAAATGTAACTTAGTGCCGCTGCCTGCGCTAACAACCCGCTCTGAAATGCCTTCTTCCTTCTCTTTTTTCTGCTTTCTCCTCTCCTAGGTGGACTTTTCATGAGAAACACTGTTCAGGAGCACAGCGCGTTTCGTTTTGCTGTGCAGTTATACAACACAAACCAAAACACCACCGAAAAGCCCTTCCATCTGAACTACCACGTAGATCACTTGGACTCTTCCAACAGTTTTTCAGTGACAAATGCTTGTAAGTAAACACATGCTTTTAAGAAATATGTTTCTTTGTTATCTGTTATTACATTCCCTTTGCCCCTGGCAGCCTGGAGTACTCCTTCGTGTGATACAGTGCAACAAATGTGAGTGCTGCCGTCAGGCTCAGTGGATTTGCAGCATTATGTGGTTGAATAATACCTTAGGGAAAGTTCCCTCACCACTTCTTTCCTCGTTTTTAGTTGTATTTTCCAGAAAAACAACCAGGCTCTGCATATAGCATCACTGTGCAACTGTGATCAGTGAATTGCCACTGAGGTAGCATCTCTTCTCTGCTGAGGCTCCAGCCTGCCTGTTTGCAAATAATACTATGTAGGAATAAAACAGGAGCAGCTGATCAAAAATGACCTTCAGGAACAGAACCAGAGGGGCTTACATACCTACTCTGACCTGAAATACTAGCTTCTTTCCTTACAGTGAAGTCCTGCTAAAAGCTGAGAAGTCTGTCAAGTGATGAATGTCTGTAGAGCTGAGGGGAGAAAGATGGAATCAGAATGCTTAGCATCATGAGAAACAGCTCTGCATGAGAAATGCATCTATATAATTTGAGCCTTTATTAACAAAGGAAACAAAATAGAACTTTGAGTGGTGGTAATGTGTTAAAATGCCAAATCCCATTCTGAAAGACCAGTGCGTGTTCTGCATTTAAATAAGCATTCCTTTATCAGAAGTGGTTCCTGAATACGTGTTTTACTGATGTGTCTCCATTCAGTTTTATGCAGTTTTTATCACAGGCTTTTGGAAATGAATGGAGTCCTCTTGCAAGGTAGTTGCGTGCACCTCGCAGCACCCAGAAATACATCTGTACATGATCTAAAGGACCTCTGAGTGCAGTGTACTAACTTTGTGTTACAAATGAGATCCCTGTTTGTACACTGGCAGTATTACATTTTCAAAGAGGAGGCATTGCAGTGAAGTACTGCACTGAAGTGTCAGCGTACTGAAAATCTCCTATTTTAAAACAATGTCATGTTTGAACGGTCTCTTTCAGTTTTGTTTGTTGGGGTTAGGATTGTTCTTATCATTTCCTGAGCATTCTTTCTCAGTATTTGTATCTTCCAAGAAATGTGGTGGCTGTAAAGTATACCACAAGGAAATTCTTGGATAACTTTTGGGTTGACACTCTAATGTATCCCCCATGTGACTGCTTCATGTTAATGCAGCACTACACTTTTTAAAGGGCTTTGAAGTAGGACCTTTAAAAGTTTGGGGGGGTAATTATATGCAATTAATATATTTGTAAAGTAGAAAAAAATAGGGTAAATAAAATTGTGTCTGTACTTTGCATCTTATTTTACTAATCCTATCCTGCCTCAACAGCTCTTACAACAAACATCTGACTATTAATCCTTAATCAGTGTAATCCCTTCAAGAGGGCTATATCTCACACATAGTTTCCTAAATATCAATTATAAGGATTTGAACTAAATACATTAAACTGCTCGAGTGATTAGTGATTAATTGTTTTTTAAAAGTTCTCCCAGCACTTCTTCACAGATCTCACCAAGCCCAGTGAACCACACGCGCCTTCAGAGGCAGCCCATGTATTATTTAGTCAGCGTGCTTCTCATCCTGTGACATCTAATGATTTTTGTCACTGCTTAGTGAAAGCTGGGGTGATTGTAGCAGGGTGAGCTGGTTTTCTGTAGAACAGGGCTGCAGATTCCAACACGCATATTGCCAGTGTAGTAAAATTTGGGAAACTCAAACCTCTGGAGGAACTGGAGACCGGAGAATACCAACCTACAGTAACCTATTTAAAAATAGAAGATGTGAAAAAAGAAGCAGAAGAAAGAAAATGAAAAGGTGACCTTGGCTATTGCTATGTTAACCATCTGGTAACAGTGCTGGTAAGAAAACAATACCGCGAGTGGAAGTCACTAGGCTGATAGGTCTCAGGAGCTCAAATTAAAAGAAAGAAAGGAAGGAAGGAAGAAGGAAAGAAAGAAAGAAATAGAAGAAGAATAGCTTTTTCTAGATCTGCAAGCAATTATCTTTGAAGATCAGAATGCTCATACATATCAGTGCGTTGGGATGAATGAATGAAGCCCCTCATGCTACATGGCCAACAAGTAAAAGATGCTGGCTCCCAAGCCCCTAATCCTATCCTTGCTTCCTCCTGGAGTGGCAGATAATTTCAGGGTGCTGCCACGAAGGAATTCTTCCCAAAACATTTTTGCTTCTCTTGAAGATAAGCATAAATTGTCTCCGGTGCTGTCACACAACCTTTTGATCAATATTTGCAATTGGCAGGAATCCATATGAGAGAAAGCTGCAGTGACTCTGACTGTCTGCACCAGAGACAAAGGCTGTGACTGACTTTGCGATGGGATATATAATGGAGCTGAAGGGAAATCAGGCAAAGTAGCCTATGTGGGTTGAGCTTAGTGCCTCTGCGAGTCCGTATCCATCAACTAATAAGTTGTTGTTTGCTCTGTGTTGTACAGTACTAGCTGTAGTAAGCGTTCATGTGTGTAGGAATTGGGCTCTGCTCAGAAGAGACTTAGGTTTTTACTGTACAACTGCACATCCCACTTGCTGCAATCTGGTGCATTCCCGAGGCAGGAAAAAAAAAAAAATCTCTTCTAAAGTGTCCTCATGAGCCAGAGATAAAAGGCCCACCTCCAGTAGGCTTGATTTGGCAGTAACCCAACATGAGAACAAAGTTGTTTAGAAGCAAAAGAAAATTCCTGCCCTAAGCCCCTCCTTCTCATTCTTTTTTCAGTTAAATGATGCATAATCTGATTCATGTACATGCGTTCTCTGCTTCACTGCTAGCACCGAGCCTCTCTCTGTATATTTAATTTACACGCGTGCATAAGGTATTCATTCACTCTGTGTTTATCTACTCATCTATTTATTTAGCTGTGTGATATCTTCCCAGAGAAGATATGCAAACACAGAGGAAAATTCCAGCGTATTAAAGGTGAATTAAAGTTTATCATTTAGCCTTGGCAGGATTTATTGTACCTTTTAGAATAGAAAGCTTTTTGCAATCAGAGAAAAACAGAAAGGAAGAAAGTTACCTGAATGTCTAAAATGAACTAAAACATGGGTGTTTTCTTCAAAAAGGCTCTGTGAGTGAGCTCTTTTCTTTCAAAATAACATCGCTACAACAACTGAAAGGTATAAATTCATCACTGGAAGCACCTTTCACGTTTTCACTGCAATCTGTGATGAAGGATGTTAGTATTAATGTTGAATTATGCGTAGTTCTGTGGATTGTATTCTCTAGAAATAGCCCATGGATGTCTTTTTGCTCTGCACTTGTAGTGCACTATACTAACACTGCTCTAGCCTCTGCAGTGTCAGCTCATTAGCACACAGATCTCATATTCCCTCTCTGCACTGTCATTGCAAAAAATTGCTGTTGTACACCTTTACAGCCAACAAATGTGCTCGTGCATTACGTATAGTTTTCAAGAAATATTTAGAAATGTAGTCAATGATATACATAGTTCCCACGGAATTTCTCTGAAGAAAGCATTAGCTTTCATAAAAATCTGTTGATCGCGTAATGATGGTGATGGGATGTGCACGGGAGAAAGGGAGTTTGATTGCAGAATCTCATTAATCTACAGGCAGATTCCCTCTCTCAGCTGCACCTAGCCTACTGGCTGCATGTTTCTGTCCCATTATTTTTTCTGTCATTTCTTGTGCATCTTCTGAGCCCAGAAGGCTGTTTTACTAAATTTTGGTGTAGTGTTTTTTGGTTTTTTTTTCTTTCTTTTTTCTTTTTTTTTTTTTTTTTTTTTTTTTTTTTTTCTGCAGGCATTCCTTCTTTAAGAAACCAAAAAGAAAGGGGAAAGACAAGAGGGTAAATGTAATTACATGCTTACTTTAAGTTGCTAAAATCACTTGACTGATTGTATGGGCACTTTCTTAATGGGGTCAGATTTCTGACTTTCTTTGAAAATCATTCTGTAGCATCCTGCAGTCCTTTGTTTAATGTTGAAGATTCAGCTCAGATTTCAGTCAAAGTGCCAGTTTGTTTCTGTGAGAATGTTACAGAAAATGATAGCACAGGGCTAGCAGCAGACAATTTTGCCAGTTGAACTGCATTTTTTCTTTTTCCCAAAGCCCAGATGGAGATGTACATATATGTAAACATATATATATATATGCTCACATGCATATTCAGTCACACATGTGAACTCCTTGCATACACAGGGTTTTTCCTTACGTGATGCTCAGCATTTCTTTTTGCCAGCGGGCAGATAATTTGCTTCCCTTGCATCTGTGTGCTCTTTGGCCAGCTGGCAGAGGACACTGATGCTGAAAGTGGTCAGCTCCCTTCTGCCAAAAGCATAAGGATGTCTCTAACAGCCTTGCCAAGTTTGGGCCATGTACTGGTGGCTTTGCTCAGTAGGGACCACAGAGTAGATGCCTAACTCTCCCCATACAGATTGTGCTGTGGTTTCTCCCACTGTAGTAAAAGACCAAAAGGACTTTGCTTTCCGTGTTGTTCCATTGATTACAGATCCCCAAAAATGCTTTTTATGCTTCAGAACTTGCTCAGACATTGTATATTACTGCTGTGTGGCAAAGAGATCAGCTATTTTTAGCTTATGAGCCAAAGCTTTTGCAATACTGGGGTAGATGAAAGGGTGACAAAGGGTGTATTCCAACTGAGGTTTGTTTCTGGTTCATGGCAGAGCAGGAGATTTGTTGTTAATGTGAGTGTTGACTCAGCATTAGCAGAAGAAACAATATTGTTTTAAATTGGTTTTTATTATTTTGTAATTCTAAAATGAGCTGGTTCTCCTTTCTCTCCTCCTCCACTACGTACTTATGCATTTGCATGTTAGATTTTAGGATTAAATTTTACTCATGTAGTAGAGAAGGAAGAAAACACTGATACAAATGGGCCCTTTTTTGAGAAGTTCTGTGATTTCACTGAACGAATGAAGAGTACATCACGAGGAGATCCATTTACTTGCTCGGTTTCAGAAAGGTGCAGAGATCCATTTGTCCACT